AGGTATCCTTGGATCCCAACATAGTTGAGACTTGCACCTGTACCAAAGAGGTGGACCTGAGTTGGACCCAATGATTCAAAATATTTTCTGAGTTTCAACAATGTGAAAAAAAAACTGCAAAAAGGTGAGCAAGATAACATTGTTTTCATACACACTATACATTTTTTAAATAATTCATAAAACTGCACTGTGCAACTTAACTCTCCCCTTTCTCTCAGGGATGTCAACATGTGGAAACTGATTCAGATGAATGCTGTGTGAAGTGTGTACATTGTGTCCTCAGTATTAATTGTGCCAAAAAGCTCTTGATGGTAAGTTGGATCGTCTCTGTTGTCGAGTTGTGACTCCACATGTTTGTGTTTATGAGACGAAAGTATCTCAGTAGTGTGTGTTTCTGTACATCCATTTCACTTTCCAGCAAGGACAAACCTGGTCACTGCCTGAGAGTAAGTGTGAACATTACACCTGTGTGCGCCACTGACAGGTGCAATGATAACCAGATGCAATGTAATGGCTGATGTGTATAATAAATGTATATACAGTATACTCTCACATATTAACATTAAAAGTTGAAAACCTTTTTAACTTTTTTTTTACTTTTAGTGAAATGCAAAGTACAAATGATGGTGCAGTGCCTCAATGAAAGTGATGGGTATGAGTGTGTATAAATTACAAGCCATGACCAAAGCGTGAACTGTATTAAGGTGTGATTTCCCCTATAGATGTAATAACAAGATAGCAGATAAATAAAAAAATAGGTAGGAGGGATCTCGTGTGGTCTTCAGTCTTTACCTTGATTGTATTCTATTCTATATAGTCTATTGCTGAAGATGCTCCTGTGTTCAGACTGAAGCACGAAGGGGGTGAGAGGTATTGTGCGTGTCGCTCCGGAGTTTAAGCGTAATCTTTGTCTCTGGCGCCTGTGATCCTGTGGGTGGAAATAAATGAAATAGAACAGTAACGCTGGCAATTACGTCACTATTTGACCTTTATTTACATTGTTAATACAGTATGTACTCAACTCAATTTGGGGATTTCCAACTGTCACCTGTGTACACATTTGTTAGATGTTATCCACAAAACAAGGAAGAATTACCTTTGCACTTGACTGTAATAGCTTATCTGTCACTACTTTCTTGGTGTGTGAAATGCAAATGCAAAGTACTTCCTCCTCACTTAGATACATAAATTTTTTATTATTTGTAGACAGCACTAGTAGGTTTAGTACCATGTAAACCTACTAGTATACATGTCTATATAAAAGTTGTAGAGTTGAAGATCTAGTATTAGGGGGCATTTCTTTGTCTCGTTTAGGCCTAGTTTTTGTTGAGTGGCTTATCAACCCAACACAACAGTTAGTAATTATATTTGCCATATTTCTTTGAAAGCCTCGCATGTCACAGCTAATAAAACACCATGTCTCAAACTAAGGGAGTTAAAAACTTGAAAATATTTCAAACTAGACCAATAATCAATTTGGGCATGTTAGTGGCAGTAAAACTCAAATCAAATTGATTTGTAGCAAATATTGATTTATATCACAGAAATGTAGACAGGAACAAGGAAGCATTTTTAAACAAGAGTCAGCCATTCTCTGTTAGGCTGTGATGCTAATGTCAACATGTTCACAATGATGTGTAGCAGGAATAATGGTATAAAGGAAAAGTCACTAGCATTCATGATTTGGGAAACTTGTAACTTTTGTGCCATTATTCCAGAGGTGGCAAAAGTACAAACCTTGTTTACTCAAGAAAAGTACAGATACTTGTGTAAAGAAGTACTGATTGAGCTTCTTCACTAAAATAAAAATGTACAAGTACTATCTTGGTTTCTCTTAAGGATTTCTATCAGCTGTTTCTATGCAAAGCTGACTGAACCTAAAATAGGGTTGAGTTTCCCTCTCGGTTTGATGTCAGAAAGTAAGTATTTGTACTTCATTACTTCCCACCTCTGGATGAGTAGGTGATCACTTTGACCTGCGGATAGCACTAGAAGAAAAGTCAGGAGAGCACCAAATTCAGTTTATTCATCCTCTGGAGACCTTGAATATGTAGTAGTTGTTGCTATGACTCTTGCATAGCTAAAAATCAGAATGGAAAGTGTGCTTCAAAAATGATATTGGTCTCAGTGACTGAACAATGATACCAGAAAGGAGACATGCTGGACTGTCAGTAAACATTTCAAGTCATTGACAAATGTTTGGTCTATGTATGGTCCAGTGATTTATGGAATTACTTGAAGGCTTCACTTCAACCCATTTATTTATAATCTTAGTAGACATGGAGGCACAGCCCACAGCTTAAATTGTTCTGGTTCAGTGAAAAAAGTACATACACACTCATCTTCCTCTCATGAAAACCAGAACCTGAATACAACTGTTCCATAATTAAAGCCTGCTGTGCAATGATTCATCATCTGCAACTGTATGTTATTTAAACAATTTCTCTTATCTATAGGATATATGTTCATATTTACCAAAGATTAACATATATAGAGCCAAAGTATGTAGCCTGAGAGTGGTTGATAGGATGCCTCATGACGCAGAGAGATGGAGAAATGTGAGTGAGAGAGAAGTGTTGTCACAAGCTTCTTAATGGGTGTGATCATAATGGAGACAAAAACCACAATGGTTGACACCCAAAATGTATCTTTTACCCCTCCTAAACTGCAAACACCCAATGAACTATATTACATGACATTGATGGTGGGAAACCAGTTGGCTTAACCATCCCTCTCAGGACAGAGAGTACTCAATGATCATGAGAACAGACAGGATGCCACTTGAATGGGTGATACCATGGTTCACCCTCTGCATTGGACTATCTGTTGAGGCCACTGGTATGTACATTCAATGGGACACAAATACTTTAATGTTTTACACTGTCTATCAAGTATTAAGGACCCTATCCTGGGAAGAAAAATTGATAAAATTACCTTGCAGTGTTTCTGTTTTCTTGTTCATACTGTATAATACAAATATAAACAGCTTTGTTTTGCTTTGCACTGACTGTATAAATGTTTGTCTTTTTTAAGTCATTGTTCATCAGGAGGTGATCAAAATGCCAGTAATTACAGGTAATTCTTTATTTTTTTCAAAGATGAATGATAAAAAATCATGTAACATTTTTATTACAGTGTGATTAATGTATTTTTTCCTCCACAAACCACAGTGAGCCCCTCTCACAACAACCAGTACTGTAGTACCTGGGGAAACTCTCATTTTCAGACTTTCGATGGAGATTTCTTCCAGCTTCCCTACACTTGCAACTACCTCCTTGCGTCGCACTGTAAGGGAAGCTATGAGACTTTCAATATTCAGCTCCAGCGGCAGGAGATAAATGGGGTCAACACCATTAAGCAGGTCACTATGAAACTGGATGGGATCGTTGTGGAACTGTCCAACGCTTCCATCAACGTCGATGAGAAACCGTGAGTCTGTTTGGATTATGTGACTTTTATTATTTTTATTTTACTTGAGACTTATTATTTTAATGAGATGGTTTTTTTTGTCCCCTCTAGTGTCACTATGCCATTCAGCCAGGTTGGCATTACAATTGTAAGAACTGTCTCCTATGTCAAAATCGAGGCAAAGCTTGGTTTGGTCATCATGTGGAACGAAGAAGACTCCCTCTGGGTATGTGTATTCATTGTATTCATTGTGTCATCAACCATCATACTTGATTGCACGGATTGCACGGATGTATAAATAATATCTGAGATTGATTTTTATCTTAATTATGGTAACTTACAGATAAGGACAGACACTAAAAATGTATACACTATATTTAGTTGGACTGCCATTTGATAGCTTAGGGAAGTGATTCACTGACACTGAGATTAAGATTATTTAAGATTAATCAAATGAAAGAAATTGTGTCTTGATCAACACATTATTTCTGTTGTTGATGACTGAACTAAACTCGACATGCTGTGTTTATGAGAAGGTATAAAAAGTAAGACCAAACACTACCAAAGTTAGTTGTACCAGGTGTGCTGTTAAAAATGTTGTTAAATTTAAGCATAACAGTACATTTTTTGTAACCGTGGTAGTGAAAAGCATCCACTTACTCATGGTCATGTGGTTGTTCAGACTTTACATTCTTGTCTGATATGGCTGAAAAAGAAAGGCATCATCAAACTAATGGTGCCAGTAGTTCAGACTTATTAAGTACTTAAGTAATATTTTCACTTGGTTTTAAGGTTGAGCTGGATGCAAAATTTGAGAATCAGACTTGTGGCCTGTGTGGTGACTTCAACGGAGTCCGAACTTATGATGAGTTCATCAACAGAGGTAAATACTAAATAATAAAGCTAAAAAAAAAACTGCAGAAAATCTGTCTAACGTTTGCTAAAACCTATTTTTTCCTCTAGAAACAGGGGAGTCTTTAACTCCTGAATATTATGGGGAGGTCTGGAAAGTCAATGGTCCTACTGAAAACTGTGAAGAAGTCTCCTCTACAGCCACACAGACCTGTACAAATCAGGTATGTGAAAATGGATTTGCTTCAAATAATTGTATATATAACATTTAGGTACAATTTCAGTACATTTTATACTTTGACCTACAGACAGACCTCTGTGAGAACCTGCTGTCAGGACCTGCATTCCTCAGCTGTCAGGAACTGATTGATACTGACTCCTTTATCAAAGCCTGCATGAAAGACCTGTGCTACTGTAACAGTAGCACTTCATGCTTGTGTTCAACCATATCAGAGTACTCCCGTGAGTGTGCTCATGCAGGCGGGAAACCACAACAATGGAAGACCGCACAACTGTGTGGTAAGAACAGCAATCACAACATTTACATGTTTTCACTGTATTTATATTAGAATCACTGTTTCTAAATTATACATTTTGGTGTGTGTTGAATAGCAAAAACATGCCCTTTCAACATGGAGTACTATGAATGCGGTAGCCCCTGTACTGACACTTGCAGTGACCCCCAGAGAAGCGATGTGTGTGATGATCACTGCATAGATGGATGCTTCTGTCCACCTGGTAAGTTTACAGATTTTGTACAGAATCAAGCAGATGTTTTATTTCATTCACACAAATGAGTAATTTATGCTCTTAAATGACTTTATTCATGCTGCTGAATTTCTGTCAAGTTGTAACAGAACTTAAAGTGATGTTATTATGTTTTGGTATTTAGTTGCCTATAAATGCTGAAGTAATTACTTGTTAATGTTAATGTATTGAGGTTATCACATTACATTTGTCCTTCACCTCTCAGAATTTTTCTTTGTACTGTTGTGCTGCAACATAGGGCTTACCTTTGGATGCTTAGATTCACGATACAACAGTGTAGCCTAATGTACTTTGAATTAACAATGGAAGTTGTCAGACCATGGTCAAAATCAAAATTTTGATTCAAGGTTAAAGTTTTTATTGATTGGAGATATGTAGATATACTATATACATAAGATTTTTCCTGATCACATTGATGTTTTCTTTGACATCCCTTAATAATAATATAATAAGAATTCTAAATTCACATAAAGAATATTGTTTATGTTTTGTTAATTCATGCACATTAATGAAACAATTCAAAAGCAATGTAGTTTTCTCCTCATAACACTTGCTAGGCTCTACACACTCTGGTGCTAAAATAAGTGTTAAAAAATAATTTGCAATACCCACACATACATGTATGACTTTTACAGGGTTTGCAGTGTGTATAAGGGTTTACTGTTGCCCTATGACTAATCTTGTCATTATGTTTCTCCTAAGGGACTGTGTTTGACGACATTAAACAAAGTGGGTGTGTTGCTGTTGATCAGTGCTCCTGCTTACACAATGGCAAGCCATACAAACCAGGGGAGTCGTACTCAGGTCCATGTAAAAACTGGTAATCACTTCACTATATTTAATTTAATACTTACAACATGTGTATTTAAGGTGGTTTGTCCAGTTGAGGTGACTGAACTCTGTTCACAGCACCTGTACCCAGGGTCAGTGGAGCTGTAATGATATGAACTGTCATGGTGTCTGCTCCATATTGGGAGGCTCCCATATCTCCACCTATGATGATAAAACATACACTTTCCATGGAGACTGCTCTTATGTTCTCTCCAAGGTGAAAACTTAATTCATCCATAATATTCATATATCCATATATTCATAAGCAAACAGTTTGTAATTATGTTCATTTGACTTCAGGAAACAAATGGGACTTTCAGTGTACTTGGTGATCTGGTCAAATGTGAAAAATCTGATAAATCAACCTGCCTGACTGCAGTTACTCTACTCCTGTCTAAAGAAATGGTAAAATTACAGTTTATTATGATAAAGTGAAACTTATTTATTGGATCTTCTCCATTTCATACCTGTTGGAAACACTGAGATTGTTCATTTTTAACTGTCACATTGAATTTTTTCCGACTGCAGATGATTGTAGTTCAAGCCAATGGACAGGTTTTGTATAACAAACAGATCTCTACACTGCCTATTTTCGTGGGTGAGTAGTTGATTCTTTTTGGTGTACATTCTCCTATGAAATCATTAGTTATATTGAGTTTTCCCAAATTAAAACCATCTCTTTATTAAATTTTTTCCTGCAGACGACGTAACAGTCTTCAGCCCATCGACATTCTTCATTGTAATCCACACCACCTATGGGCTTTCTCTTGAGATTCAGCTCACACCTATCATGCAGGTCTACATCAAAGCCAGTGTTTCCAATAAAGGAAAACTCAACGGTGTGCTTTACTTCTTGAACACTTGTGATTCTAGTGTAACATATATGATGAATAGTGTGGTGAGTATTTTATGAAGTGTTAAATCAAAGTCATTATCTTCATCCAGGCCTTTGTGGAGATTTTAATGATGTAGAAGCTGATGACTTCAGAACCATAAATGGACTGATTGAGGGAACGGCTGTGGCATTTGGCAACACATGGAAAACCCAAACAAGCTGCCTCGATGTGACAAACATACTTAAGGACCCTTGCATTTTGAGCGTGGACAACGGTAGGTCACAGACATCAATGCACTGTATTTTTATATAATTCTTCACAAGACAATGCCAGTAAACATGCTTCTTTGTTTTTGTAGAGAAATATGCCAAACACTGGTGCTCCTTGCTGTCTGACCCAAAAGGGATTTTCTCAAATTGCCATTCTGAAATAAACCCAGCAGTCTATCAAGCTGTAAGCAGTGATTTATTTTTGTTTGCAGTCTTAACGTGTGTGTGTGTTTATGTATTTGTGTTATTTTACTTTACAGCTGCTCATTTAAACTACAAATTTAGCTTGTTGGTATTTCTCTCCACAGTCTTGTATTTATGACACTTGCGCCTGTGAAAACAGTGAGGAGTGCATGTGTGCTGCCTTATCTTCCTATGTCCATGCATGTGCCGCTGAAGGTGTCTTTCTGAATGGATGGAGGGACACCGTATGCAGTAAGTTAAACCCACACTATCAAATGTGAAATAAATAAAGCCAATATATGTTCTTAATATTTAAACATTAATTGAACCTGTTTCCTTTCAAAAGATAAATACACGACCGGCTGTCCTCCTACTTTTGTGTATGGCTACCAAATGAAGAGCTGTGGACGCACCTGTCGCTCCCTTAGTCAGTCAGACTCAACATGTGACGTTGAATTTACTCCGCTTGATGGCTGTGGCTGTGCTGAAGGAACTTACCTAAATGAGAAGGATGCATGTGTGTCAGCTACACAATGCCCTTGTTACGTAGGAGACACAGTGGTACACCATGGGCAATTCATCAAGCTCCACGGACAAACTTGGTAAGCATTTTAATATTTCCAATAAAATTAAGCATAAGCATAGCAATCTTTATGGGGATTTTATGCTCTGTTACTGACAGGAAGGAGGTCGCAGGAAATGAGAGGAAAGAGAGAAGGGGAATGCAACTTCACACCTAGAGCATTTATTTTTAAGATTAAGATTACTCTAGATTATTGTGTCCAATGTTATGAATTAAATGTCTCTGGAGCAAATTGTGGGTCAACTGTATGTAATGTTGTATATATCTGTCACAGTGTTTTATTCATGTGTTCTTACTGAAGAGTGAGTAGCAGTGTTAAGGCATTTGGCAGTACTAAACCAATACTATATCAATGCTTGCTTTACATATGGTCGTGGTCCCTTGAAAATTTTCAATGCTAAGTAATAATAATAATAATAATAATAATACATTTTATTTGTAAAGCACCTTTCATAAAAG